TAATGTTATTGTTATTCTAAATTTTTGTCAAATTAACTCTTTTCATTCTATCATGGAATTTCCCTTTTGAGTGGTCAGTTTGAAATTGCGCTTCTCTACTCTAATACATAAATATGTTAATAACTTTAATTAATACTTAATATTATTAATTAATAATTAATCTCTTTTTTTTTTTTGTAAAAATTAAAATTAAACAATTATAACAACCAATATAATTTCCGTCACCCTTCTTTATCAATTCTTTACAGCTTGCCGAGTAAACCGGCTTACGAAACTTCCTTCCTTTATTCTACTTACGCCCCTTCGCAAGGAAACGGGTCAACCATGGCAGCTTAACCTCTCTTTCCTTCTGCTCATCCTCCTTTTTCTTTCCATAAATTCAATACTCTCCTACATTCCGTCTCAGTAGTTAATTTGATTTTCTTCATCTGATATAAAGCATGGAGGCAGAGGTCGGAGAAGGTGAGATCTCTCTTCGGTCGTTGAATCTCGACGACATAGACGATTTCATGGTGTGGGCGACGGATGATAGGGTATCTCGATTCTGCACATGGGAAACTTACACGAGCAAAGAAGAGGGCATCAAATACATCAAGGAAACGGTAATACCCCATCCCTGGTTCAGAGCAATATGCTTCAACGGCCGGCCGATCGGCGCCATTTCGGTGACTGCAAACTCCGGCTTCGATCGATGTAGAGGGGAAGTTGGTTATGTGTTGGGGTCAAAGTATTGGGGGAAAGGAATTGTCACGCGAGCTCTGTCAATGGTGGTGAACACCATATTCGACGAGTGGCCGCATCTGGAGAGACTAGAGGCTCTGGTTGAGGTGGGTAATGTTGGATCTCAGAGGGTACTTGAGAAGGTAGGGTTTACAAGAGAAGGTGTGTTGAAGAAATACTTCATTCTTAAAGGAAGGTCTAGAGATATGATGATTTTCAGCTTACTCTCTACTCATGATAAAACTTTATAATCATTTAAATTCCAAGTTCTGTTAATCGCCATGGTCATATCTTTCAGGTTTACAGAGACTGGAATGTTTGATTCTCTATTTTAATAAATGCGATAACTCCCTTGTCTTAATTGACTTATTGGTTTTTTGCACATTGATATTGTCTGTATCACTTATTTATTTTATAAGTTTATAGTGTTTTTAAATTCCTAATTTGTTACAAATTAGAGGGGCACTTTCGTGAATATATTTATTAATAATGGTTATTATGATAAGTTATTTGATAATTAACCAATTAGGATGGATAAACTAATAATATTTGCTATATTTGAATCAAATGAACTTCATTTGTGTGGAATATCTACATCTATGTATGTATATGTATATATTAACCAAAAGGGGTGAAAATCCTTTATAAAATTATAAAAATAAAATAAAATTCTTAGTGAAGTTTAGTATATTTCAAATTCCACTAATTATAATGGAAATTAAACCCATAGATATAAAATATAAGGGATGAATATCCTTTACAAAATGATAAAAATTGAACATATAAATAACTCTAATTGTGATTGATAGGATATATTTTAAATTCTATTAATTTTCATGGAATATGAAATATATTATCTCAATTTCACTCAATAAATTATATAGGGTGTCAATTTTTTATTATTATTTATTTTTCATAGTTAAATTAAACATGATTATATTTTTAGACAAGTTTAATTAATTTGAGATTAAGATTTTATATCAAATAATATAAATAAATACACACTAAAATAAATCAAATTATTGTAATAATTTTTTAAAATAATATTATGTAAGTCATTAGAATAATTAAATTTTCGTTATTATCAATTAATTAAATATAATCTAATATCTTTTTACCTTGGAATTATTTTGATTAAAAGTCATTTCCAAAAAACTTTGCCAACACAGAACGCAAACACTAACCTAATTAAAAGACAAACATCATCTTCTCCTCCAACCAAAGTGAATCTCATCTTCTCTTTCTGAAGTCTAATCCGAGGGGTTAGTAGCCTCAAGAGATTTAGCTTGAAGAATTGAAGATTCAACATTCATTATCAGTTTATGAAAACGTCACTAAGATTTTTCAAACATTATACCGAAAAGAAGAATTGAAGGATGAAGGATCTAAGGCATAGGATCAGTAGATAGAAGACTAAATATGGTTGAATCTACATTCGCACCTTTGATGTACACATATTTTCTCAGAACACCCTCTTTAGTGAACCCTAGTTTCTCTAACACCTTCTGTGATGCTTCATTTTCCACTGCAGTAAAAGCTTCAAGCCTCACCAAATCTGGAAATTCCTTAAAAGCTTGACGAACAGTCATCTTCGCCGCCGTGGTTGCTATACCTTTACCCCAATACTCTGCAGCCACCGCATACCCCAACACAGCCTTATACTTTTCGTACTCGGTTGAACCCCGCATGACGAAGACGTATCCGATCGAATGGTCGTCTATGCATATTGATCTGAAAAATGGTTGTGGGATGCAAAAGTCTTTGAGGAAAGTCAACGCTTCTTCCTTTGAGTTGAAAGCATTCCAGCGGGTCAACCGCGCCACCCTTTCATCACAGCCGTAGACCATGAAGTCGTCGATGTCTGAGATTTTAAATGGACGGATCGTGATCTCCATTTTCTTTGAGCTGCTCTGCGGGTATCTTGAGAAATAAAATGAGTTCAAATATATTACTCTTGGATTGAAGACTGATTTCTTGGCTCTTTACAATTTAAAACAAGTTTTTATGTTATAAAATATTTAATAATAATAATAATAATAGTGATGAATTTGCAGCTCCTTACCTCTGACTTTTCGGGAAATACCTGCAGCTCTCTGCGTCTCGCTCTTTCCAGTTTCTTCTTCCCTCGTCGTCTCTGTTTTTCGTGCTTCAAACGATGCCGTTTAATGAAGGGTGTTGGGCCTGGGCTTCTTGTTATCTGGCCCGAATGTGATTTTGAGGTAGATATATGTTTGAATATATTTTTCATTTTAGTTAGTTTGTATTTTCATGGACCTACCATTAATTAAATTAAATAATAAATAAATACCCACTAATAAAAATGAGAAAAGCTAACTCAAATTTTAATTAAAAATAAAAATACTAATTATAGTTGATAAACATGACATCTAAGTTTTTAACGCATTATATTTGATTTTTATAGAAAAAGAATACAGATTTTAAACTTAACTAATTATTACATTATTATTTAATATTCTTATAGGTACAAAGAAAGTAAAAAACTAATTAATAATTCTTAATGAATAGTATTATTTGGTGATATTTTATTTTATTTTTTAAAAAACTTACTTATATCTCTTTTTACTTATGTAACGTTCTAATTTTAATATCTGTGAATATGAATGTTTGTACACTATTTCTAACTATTAAAAACAACAAAATTATAATTGCATGTAGCGACACTACATATTGTTACATATCTCTTGTAATAAAATAATAATGATAAATCAGAAATACATAAAATATTAAAACGATAGAATGCTAATCTCCAATTAATTCTTAATTATTGTACAAATTTAAAACTGAAAAGCTAAAAGGTTTCATTCAATGTCTCATGTTGATCTCGAGCTTGCTCTTGATCTTATCGGATATGAAAAGGGGAGTCAATTGGGGTAGATTTTACGAACTTAACGAGGAGTATTCTATAATAGACATTTACATATATACATTCACACAAAAATATATAAAATATAACACAAATTTTAAAGTTAAGAAAATACCAAACAAAACATCATAACAAAATTTATTATCATATTTTGAATCTTATTTCTATTTCGAATCACATTTTTCTCTTTATTCAAATACGTTACTAATCTTTTCGAGTTCTTTCTTTATTTATAGTTATTACTAATTTCTTTTATTATTTGTAATATTTTCTTACCCAAATGTTATTTTTCAAAACTTCACATATTCACACTGATTTACATATTTCACACAAATGAATTCTCATCGGACCCATACACACACACATTTATATTACTCGAATTTCACATTTTTATATATTTAATTTTTCAAAATTTATTTAGAATTTTCATTGTGCGATATCATTTATATTGTTATCAAGAGAGACGATCAGATTTCTTTACTATATGGATAGTACTCACACACATCACATATTAATCACAACAGTACATTTATTAGATGATTCAGAACACATCACACACATACTTATTTATGTTCGAATTAGGTTTTATATCTCTATTCATGATTGGGTTCACTCTGCTAAATTTTAATTACACATATACTATTCCCTGCTCAATTCGTGACTAAACAATTGGGGAATGTTTTCCCACTTGGGGAAATCCCCCTTACGGGGGGATTTCGTCATATGATTTTATTTATTACTGCATTTACGTTTTTTTTTTTTTAAAGAACCATATAAGCTGTCACATGTATCATAGTCGACGGTGCTAAGTGTGTCTGACGACTAGAGGCTGATTTGAAACAGCTTCTCTGAAGTAAAAAGTCGATTTTGAACATTAAAAAAAAGTAGAAGAGCCATTATGGTATTTTAGCGAGGGGAAATTATGTTAAGGAATCAATCCAATGGTTCGCACCTAAATCCGATAGGGGGAGATAGCGCCTCTGTTTAGTGTTTATTTACCTCTTCAGTTCACTTCGTTCTGGGCTTCTTCATTTTCCCTTTGCCACGGACATCCCCCGAAAGCAAAACCTGCAAAAACTTTCTTCCATACCTCTCGATTTGAATGGATCCTCTCTCGGTGCTCCGGGACTTCACGATTCGCGGCGAGCTAGACAAGATAGTTCGGGTCAATGATGAGTATCGATTCGGCTCCGAGTACGTATTTCCTTGTAGCGCCGAGACAGCGTATCGATCCAAGCAAGGCAATCTCTACACATTGGAGGCCTTGGTTCACTATGTCCAGAATCAGCACCTCAAGCACGGCGAGTACATGCACTACACCGTCAAGAACAGTGTCCCCGCCGTCACCCTCCCCGACCGTAAGCCCCTGCTCGATTATCTCACCGGCAAGGTGGCCTCATCCGATTCCATTGAGTTCCTTCTTCCCCAGCAACATCCCCCTCAATCAAACCAACAGCCCCACTATCATAATTCCTTACCTGCTATATCAGCACCAGCAGCTGATGAGTATCGCCCAGATGACGATTCCATGTTTCCCGTGGCTCCCAGCTTGATGGAGAACATTGGTTCGGCTAATTCTGTTGAACTCTCGACCTACATACCAGCGATCAAGTCTGTGGAAAAACCATTGAAGAACCGGGAGGCCATTTTGGAGTGCAGGAACAGGGATTTCTATAGCGTGTTTGTAGCTTCGACGAGGAGAGAAGAGGAGCGGCAGAGGATCGAGTCGCAGCAGAGGAAAGATGGGCTTGTGGCGAAGAGCAGGTTAATGGGTGCGGATGAGAGGGGCTTAGGTTACGGTGGTGGGGATGATATTGGATATGATGCGACTCCAAAACCTAAGCTTCACCTGAAGGGAGGCAAGATTGGGGAAGGAGTGCCGATAATTCTGGTGCCCAGCGCGTTCCAGACGTTGATCACCATATACAATGTGAAGGAGTTCTTGGAGGATGGGATATACATTCCAACTGATTTGAAGGTGAAACAGATGAAGGGGGTTAGGCCGGACTGCGTCACCGTGCAGAAGAAGTTCAGTAGGGACAGGGAGAGGGTCGTGACGGCCTATGAGGTAAGAGATAAGCCGTCTGCGCTCAAGCCCGAGGACTGGGACAGGGTGGTGGCCGTTTTCGTTTTGGGCAAGGAGTGGCAGTTCAAAGATTGGCCATTCAAGGACCATGTTGAGATTTTCAATAAGAGTAAGTCAAATTTCTTCTCATGTTTAATTTTACCTCGACTGGATAGTTTTGAGTTGTTGTTAGAATTTAAATTTTAGTTCTGATTGGAATTGCTATCCATTTTGGGTACGGTTTGTTTTGGAAGAATGGTTGATCTTACTTGGAGGGAGATTCTTGGTTTTCTGCATTTCTGTTGAACTGCATTCGGCATGCTTTTTAGTTTTTGAAAATGAATTGGATTATGATATGAAGTTTGGAATTACATTCTGGACTATCCAAGGTTGCAGTTTATGATTATCTAGTTTTGTTCCTAAAATATTTGTGTCTAGGTGAAGGAAGTGAGGGTCTTGGCGTTCAGTCTGGATTTAATTGTTGCATGGATGTTTAAGATGCTCCCAAATTTGCTAAGAGTTTTTGCTTTTATTTTTTACTTAAAATAGTTTTGTTTTACTTTTAAAGAAAACAATTATGCTAGAATTTAGAGTCTCTACAGGAGTTATGAGGAATAATTGGTGGCATGTAGATCTTTAACACCACGCCTGTTGGATGGTTGATCACATTTAAGAGTTTATTAATAAGTGATAGATCGTTGTCCTAGAAGGTTGAAAATACAACCATGTGTAGACCCTTATGAGGACTAATTGTTGGCATGGATATCTTGAATTCTGTCCCATATAGGTACTTATGAAGAATAACTGTTGGTGCAGACCTCAGAAGCACCAATCAACGTGAATCATAGTCAAGAGTCTATTCCTTATCTGGGAATAATTTTGGGTTTGACAGCTAGCTGAGAGAACTACTAGCTTATAGCAGAGAGCCACCTGTTTCTACGACAACTTTTTAGGACAAGATTGCATCTGAGTTTGCTGATAAACCCCCAAATTTCTTTAATAAACTATATGCTTATGTTGAGTTTCTTTTTCCTCAGTTATTGGATTTTACATGCGGTTTGAAGATGACAGTTTGGAATCAGCAAAGAATGTGAAGCAGTGGAATGTAAAGATAATCTCGGTGAGCTTTCATACTCTTGTAGAGAAACTAATACATTGATCTTCTATTTTGTTAAGGGTTTCCGGATCTGCTGACATTTTTGTAATCTTGTCTGCTTTTGTTGTGTGCATTTGTTATATACTCTATAAATGTGCAGATTAGCAAGAACAAGAGACACCAGGACAGAGCTGCTGCACTGGAGGTCTGGGAAAAACTTGAAGAATTTGTGCGGTCACGTTCGCATTCTTAGAGACTGCAGCTCGTTGTAAGAAATATGTATATGTATACTTCAAACTGATCTTCATGCTTCATGCAACTTCAATGCTGTTGCAATATAAAGCACTTCATTAATTTTTGATAACTGATGATCTCATTGACCACTTTTTTGGTCCTGATGGAGCATGCCAAAGCCCGTCAAACTGGATATTATATGGTGCTGTGCTATGTTAATGATTTCTCATCTCTTTTGTGGGCTTAGTTGATGGAAATGAATAGGGTAATTTGCTCTTTCTCTACCGGAATTTCCTTTTGCAATTGTGATTATATGCCATGATGTTTGTGAACTGTGGGTTGTACATCAATTAAAAATCATACATAAACATGATTTGGGTTGTGCCATGTGGGGATTAAAATATTGTTCCCTTTCTTGTTATTGGTGAATGCTTTTTCGGTTTGATCACTTACCTTACTAATGTAAAGAATATTCCAATTCTTGATCTTCAGTTTGGTAATTTTTATGAAACTGAGCAGATTGAAGAGGTTGTTGCTGCCTGAAATTTTAAAAAATGTTTAGAAGCTGCATCTATGTCGCATGCAGTTGGATGGAAATAGGAAGCATTAGGATAGTGATCAAAATGTCATAACATTGCTATATTAAATGGCCAAATTTTCTCCTCATTAGCTTGGAGCATTTGGAATCAGTTTGAACTCATATGGTGATCACACCATGTTTTATGACTTTTAAAAGTAGGATTAATTATTCTACTCTTGATTCTTTTGGTCTATTTTTTTGAGATAAAAACAAGTATATTAAGTATGTGGCACCAAAGGGGCGCTGCTCCTATACTGAATATTTATATGTCAGTTAAAACATCAAAAACCTTCCCAAAATATCCCATTCATGAACATCATGATCCAGAATTAGAACCCCAAAAGTATATAGTCACCTATCTCTAATTCTACCAATATCCCTTATACAACCATTAAACACTCTATTATTTCTCTCTTTCCACACCACCCAAAAAATAGTTAAAGAAATGAGTCTTACAATTTTTGATTTTTTATCAATTCCATCCCAATCCCAAAGTTCATTTTTCACCAAACCCCCAATCACCCAATTGATACTCCGTAAACTATACTCCATATTTTATAAACTATATGTCACCGGACACCACAAGAGGAGATGGTTGCATGATTTAGCTGCCTCCATGCATAAATAACAACCATTAACCATAATATGGCTCATTCTCATCAACTTGTCAATGGTGAGGATGCATTCCCGACCCGTTTCCCAGGCAAAAAGAGTAGTTCTCAGTGGTGCCTTCACGTTCCAAATATGCAAATCCGGAATTTTCACTCCATTGCTCTTACTAATGGCCTTGATTCTTTTTGGTCTGTAGTATCCTTTTTGAACATGGTTCAAGCTCAACTTTAAGTTAGTGTTTTTAAAGGTTATTTTTAATGAAGACCAAGACTTTGTTGTCATTCTTAAGCTTGACAACTTAAGAGATAGATATGGATAAAAGGGTATCAATCTAGCATATTGTGGTATTTTAGGGTTTGAAAAAAACCCTAAAATTAGAACTCTAAAATAATTTTATTCGGCTTTGAACCATATTGATTATGGAGAAAAAATAATAATTTTATTTTTCACTCTTTAGATTATTACATTTAGGGTATTTATAGAATTCATAACCTATTAATAAGGAAGTTCTTATTTTACTATAATTCTAATAATATGAGATTATTATTTTTATAAAATCCTAATTACATAATACTAAATAATTAAATAATAAAATATGGTATTCAATATAAATATATAAGGAGAAAGAGAAGGAACTCTTCCAAATTTGGGTGGTTAGGTTTAGGCAAAGTCAGGTTTGAGGGTAAGAGTAGTCCGTTTCAATCCCTGGAGTCATTGATGAAGCTGAAATGGGAATTTGATTTTGTTACCTCCATACAATCGTTGAAAAGCCACATAAGTAGTTGTTTTAGTTGCATAATCACATGTTTTTTGTGAGGTCAAACATGTTGGATAAATGACTAGTTTTAAGGAACTATAAGGAAAAAAAAAGTTCTTTTGAGGTCCAATTCAGAACTCGGAACTTCTTTGGTTTTGGGTTATGACATTTGAGGAGCTCCCTGCCCCACTCTAGTATATTCATCTAAAAAAATTTGTAACTGTACCCAACCAACCAAGATCACCATTTCTTCTTCTTCTTCTCTCCTATTCTTTTCACCAAACATAAATAATAGTGCTAACACTTTAAACATTTTTTTTGGCCGACCAAACTCTTATTCCTCTCCCCATAATGTCTCCAACAAATGCCAAAAGATTTGTACTTATTGGGAGAAAATCATTTGATATTGTCTGTGATGGAAAGAACCTAGACGGACTGAGAATCTACGAGAATGGAAGAGGCAACAAATTATCCATTGTGCTTAACAAGAAAGAAGTTGATTGGATAGTTGAAGGTCTGAGTGATTTTTACTGGAACAAAGGCGGAAAAACCTAGGGAAGAAACATAAAAAGTCATAATCGACATCTCTTTATTGCTATGGTTTGGAACAAACGAGGCCAAACTATTGTCCTCTCGGAGAAAATGAAAATCAGTTAAGAAAATCTTCTTTCCTGATGGTTTTTGAGGCGGGGGGTTGGTGGAAAATCATGAAACATATTTTTGATCTTAGAGAATCTCTCCTGCGAAACGCTGTCATAGCTCCCACAAGCACTAGTGTGCCTCCTTCATGTTTCCTGCGGCCACTAGTAGATGCATTTCAGATTTCTTTATGCTGTCC